TTATAATTAGTTATTTAATGTGGCTAGATTATATAATCACATGATCGAAATACCAGCCACATGAGGTATAAATATCAAAAATGAGAGGTACGAATATCAATTCCCTATAACTAAATATCCTAATATACATATAAATTATGGGATTCTTACATAAGCTGCATCTTTTAAATATCACGTGAAACAAATTATTATTATTATTTTGTATTACTATTGTTATAGATTTTACACTGATTACTTATATATAAATTAAATAACAGTTAATAAAATTATTATTTGTAACCTATATTATGTTTGAAACACTTAAAAATCATAATGGAGTATAATTCACCTATTAAATTTAATATAAACATGAGAATTAGAATCAAATTGAATCAAATTGTTAAAATTCTCACTTGCAATTTAGAAATACTGTATATATGGTTGAGATATATTTAACAAATATGTTATTATGTCACAATTACTATTTGTATAACCTCAAAAGAGATATTAAGATATAACACAAGACAAGGAAATATATTAGAAATAAAATAAATCAATAATTAAAAGATATTTTATTATTATTTTTCTCTCTATACAATTCTCTCATAAAAAATAATTCCAAAGAATAATAAAAACAATAAAAATTCCAAAAATCCTATAAATCATTCAAGCTCCAATTATAACCCAATCGGGTGGTGACATCATACATGCTATATAAATTTTTTATATGCTTTTATACTAGGCTTTTTAATTGAACTTTAAAAAACAAAAATATAAAAAATATTTTTATAAATTGTATGTATAACATATATTTGATTTAGAAATTCTAAAAAACTGCTAAGTAATGAAATCCCAAAACATACTTATATATACCGTATAATATATATTTGACTTAAAAAATATGAAATTTGCTAAATAATAAGACCAAAATCTAAATCCGAAAGAAAAAAAATAGGGTTTGATTTTTTCGCCCATCTTAAGATCGAACAGGCAATATAACATCCGTATGATATTTTCCGAAAATGTAAAACCGAATAAGAGGACGGGATATGGTACGTATCTATCGTTAATAAGAATGTAAATTCTATTACAGTAGATTAATTAAGACGATACTCACAAAAGTAGAGTGCAAGTTCCCAACCTTTTATTATGACATAGCAATTGAAGTTAATGTGGCAAATAAGGACCCGGCAGACACGTAACCAATATAGCTCTGGGCACCCGCCGCAAGCGATCCCGCAACAACTCCGGCGGCACCAAATCCCAAGAGTGGAAGAAGAACGAGAGCTCCGACAACATTGGCAACGCTTCCAACAGTAACAACAACAACGTAAGAAATTAAACCCATCTTGTATTTAATGTGGTTTTCGAGTAAGAAGGTTATTAAAATAAAACTAATGTATCTGGGTCAGGTTTATATACTTTAAAAAAATATGCACGTGCAATTTTCATCATTGATCTTAGAACGAGCGCAGTATTGTTATTGTGTCCATTTAAGGTTGATTGATGAATCTTGGACAATCGTTGCAATCGTCTTAAATTGTTACATCTGAAAAATTATGTGAGTACGACTTTGATTTTCACATTTTAAGAGTATAACGCGCTGAAATAGACTCTGCCTCATTCTTATCAGTTTGTAGTTTGTAAATCACAGACATATCTTACTTTTCTCATAAAGCACTATCGATCATTTATTATTATTATCACAAGGATGTATGAAAGTGGCATTTTTACGCCGACTTTTCTGTATATCATGATTCTTGGCAACTCTTTAATATTGAATTAAATTTGGGCTTATCGATTGAGTAAACAAGGTAATACAGTTTAGTTTTTCATCACGATCCTTGCTTATATTAACTTACTGTTTCTCAATAGTACAAGTTTTGATAAACAGAAATTTTGAGGGTTTATAAATATGCACTGAAACGTACAGTATAACATATAGCACATCTTTTAAAATAATAAATAATGATGTAAATAAAAATTTTTTATTGATAATTAATAATTATAAAATCTAATTTTATTTTATGTTAAATATTATATTATTAAATAAATTATATTTGATAGCAATTTGTATGCATACATATTATAAAGTAGTGATCTGTTTTTTTGAGGTTTTATTAGATTTAATAGTAATTTGTAAATTTGATATATTAGATACTCCTGAAGATATGTTTTTGATTAATTAGAAAAGTTATATCATGTTTAAAAAGATATAGAATTAAAATAGATTTTATTATTTCTTATAATATTAAAGAATAAAATTAATTTGTATCGAAAATTTATAAAAAAATAATTTGCATGTATTTTAGTTATTAGTCTACTTATTGTAAAGGGATTTAAAAAAATAAGTAATATAAAGATATATTGGTTTTATCTGATTAGAGTCTAATTGGAAATTAAGAGATTTTTGAAAATTTCTTATATATATAAAAAAGAAAAATTGTATTAGAAAAAGAAAAACAATAATAAAGATCTTTTTAATAAAACTTAACTTAATATTTAATATTTTCACTTATCTTGTATTATAATCCACATGTTTTTATTTAACATTATATGATTAATAATTATGATATAGTACTTGACTTTCCAATTACATTCTTAATACTATAAACATTTGACTTTACAATTGATTTATTTAAATAGATAAACATTAAGTTTAAGAAAAAATAATATGTTATTAATAAAATAATATTTTAAAAAATTAAAACAAAAGAAAAATATTGAATATAATTGAAATTATAAATAATATATTAAAAAAAGCTTTGTATAGTAACAATAACTTTATTAAAAAATATTTTTTATAAATGCTTGATTATAATAAAAAAAGTTAAAATTATATAAATAAAATGGAAACAAATTGTTCTTTTAATAAAATTATATTTTAAATAAAATTATTTGTATATAAAATAAGATTTAATAATTTAATAAAAAATTATAAAAAATATTGAAAATAAAAAACGCTCTCTTGATTACATTCATTTTGTTAAAAATTTTTCTTTTATAGTAATTTTAAACAAGAAAAAATGATTTACTCTCTTTATTGCAAATAAGCCTCAGCTCAGAAATTCAAGAACCTTCAAGACAACTGGTGTGGGATGAAATCTCTAGTCGAAGTTTATTCAAGTTTTGAAGTCTTGCTTATCCTTCAGTTATATAAGAAAAGGCTTATAACAGTTCTTTTTTCTTCAGTTCTCTTGCATTCTTCCTTACTCTTATTTTATTATAAAAATCATTTATATAATCACCATCATACTTGCTAAACCAAATACTTTCCAAAGTACACACTCAAACAAAGTTAGTAGGTCTACTGTTTATTTTAAGTCAACTCTTATATATAATATTCTTGTAGCAATATTTGCTGTATCATCTTCAATCTCTAAAAATTTTCCACTCAAAAAACTGAAATCAGTTTACTCCTTTTAAATAATTAGTACTTTTTAATTATCCAATCAAATTTTATCTAATGATCAAAGCAAAAATTAAACAAGCTCAAACCAGTTTTGTATTATAACAACAATCATAATAAAAATAACAACTAACTTACTACCAACAACTATAACAAT